ACTGGGAAGATAATCTCCAATTTTGTTGAATAATGGAATTTACAATAATTTTGCTCTTTTGCTCTACAGCTCCATGTCCGGCTGATGGCACAGCAATAGTCTTTTTTGCTGACGACGACTGCTCGAAGTATTGGGAATGCGCCAATGGGATTGGCTATCAGTTTACCTGCCCATCCAATCTGAATTGGAACCCCGAGTCTCTCACCTGCGACTATGCAAATCGCGCTGGATGCACAGGATTTGGTTGGTCGACCACAACCACACGCCGCCCTTCTCCCACCACCAACACGCCCCCTAGAACGACAAATACGCCCACCAGAACCACCCCCACTACAACAGCCCAAACTACCACCACTCCTACAACCACAGCTGCTCCCATTACCACTCGCCGCACTACTCTCACTACCACGCCCAGCACTACTCCCTCTACCACTCCCACTCCCACTCCAACGACTGTAAAGCCCAAGCCAACTACTCGCGTGCCTGAACCAACCACAGGTAAAATTATGACTGTCTAAGCAACAAAAGAAAGAGAAGAAATCAGGGCAAAATGTTTTAGTTGAAAAATAGTTGCAAATGCTGAAAGTTTTTAATGGAAATTTCCCATTGCAGAAGCTCCAGGGGACGATTGCAGATGGTGGTGGTGGTGGGCGCCGTGGAAGTGCAGGAGGGAATGAACAACCTTAACATGATTTAAATGTACCTACAATAATTGTTTATAATGGAAACTGTGCAATGTATGCAATTGAAACCCAAATATACGGATAAGTTGGTCATTTAAGGTGTCTCCTGTAATTTTTTTCTTAGATTTTCAAAGCTGTTTTAATCTAAATCTAAATAAAGCTAAATCGGCGGATTTGAAATAAGCACTGATTTTTAAAAAAATCAATATTAAAAAAACCTCCATTCCTCGCCTCCGTGCGCTGAAAAATCATTTTTTCAAAAAATCGACCCCCACCCTTGGAAAAATTTCGGTCAAATAATTCAATAATAAAAAGGTCAATAATTCATTTCTTCCACAAGGAATATTTTTCGCACAAAATCAGTACTTCTCCACTTTCGAAGAAATCAACAACCTTCGTTGCCTAGAAACTGATGACGCGTGTTTCCGGAAACACGTAAACCTGATCGACCAATCGACTCGTTGAATACAAAAAAACCATGGCAACTCGTGAATACAAACACATCAACTTTGAAATCAGTTGTTAGTAAAGCAGTATTTCTTGCAGTTGAAGTTTGAAATTAATCGGTTTTTACACGTTTGTTTACACGACACAGTTACAAAGTGAACCATCGATAAGGAAATGCTGGCAGTTTTCTCAAAAAAGGCTTGAATTCAAGAAGTTTTAGATTTGCGTGGTTTTTTTTTGAGTTGCAAAATCCACTTGA